GTGGGAAAGAAAGGGCGGGCTGCTGCTGCTTACGTGCTGGACCATATCCTCCGTCTGTTCGTCATACGTCATGCTAGGCCTGTGCCCTCCTGACGCCTGTGCCAAGTCCGATCTTTCTCGCACGCCCTTATATGTCACCCTCATCCAAGCGTGGTAGAACTCTTCAACCGTGGCTCTGCATGAGTCACAGCGGTCCGCTTTGGGGGCAAAGCCGCCGACCACTTTCCCGGCGGACGGCTTCGCGCTTCCTAGCAGATACCGTCGATCGCGATCTGGATCTTCGTCGATCTTCTTCCCCGCGCCATTGCCATCCCGATCGACGTCATCGACGTAGCCTTGCCCTTGGCGTTTTGCCGGCGGCGACTCCGTCCCCTGCTGGCGGGGGGACAGGATTCCCCGCTGCTCGTCGGCGGCGGCGGGAACGGTCGCATTTTTTTGTGGGTCCTGGGAAATGGCGGGGGCGGGGGCGGAATCGGACGGTTGCAATTCGTCCTCAGCTAGCTGGTCCTCGTGGACACCGTTGACGGCAATGACCTCAACGTCGTAGTCCACGTACGCAGCAGCGGAGTCGTCCTCGGCGGGAAAAGGTATGCCCGACGACACAAAGACTCGGCGCGCAACAGTTACGCGCCTAATTTCGCCAACGCACATTCCAATTATGGCGGGCTTCCAGGGGTGCGGCTGGTCTACCATAACCCTTGGATACTTAGCCTCCTGATGGTCTGGGAAAGCTTGCACGTCATCAATCGCTAGCCCCTTGCTGGCAGTGACAACCTCTAGGGTTCTACCTACTTTGTACGTGGTCTGGAACACGTGTCCGTCGGGAAGCATCGCCTTGTAGTGAATCAGCACCCTGTCGCCCCCTCTCTTGACTCTCACGGCGCAAGACTTCGGGTTCTCTAAGACGACGTAGGAAATACCCGTCTTCTTTTTCTTCCTGTTGGCGGGAGTATCCGCGTCGCAGCACATGGCGCCAAAATAGACAAACAAAACGACAAAAACTGCGATGAACGAGCGCGTTGCTGAGATCCCCGCCCGGCATTTTCTGGGATTGGCGTGAGCAGCAGCTGACGTCGCCATGGCGTGTAACAATTGGCGATTTCAAGACGGAATCAAACGGACTCGCTAACGGTGGATGAGTAATCCAACGGTCATTCTTCGCACGGACGCTGCACTAACGGAGGACGGGGGCTCATGCACGTGTCACCTAACTAGGTAGTCATGGCCGTTTAGAAATCGAAATAAAGATTGTCACAGACCAGACAGGGCATAGTCACTCACACTAGGAGTTTTCAGGATGCATCTGACTGCAATTCCGAACCGCCTTGCATGTATCTGATCGCAATTATGTTCAAAAAGAGGAGTAGAAAAAGTCCTAGTTTGAGCACACCCACAGTGGTCCGCTTCTCTACCAAAGGGAGGTCGCCTTTGGTAGATTCCCTCTGGAAGATCGCACCCACCGAATGAATGCACAGAAGTCTGGTCAGCAAGATGAAAAATGTCACGGTCCCTGTCTTCTATTCGTTGTGCAGTATATGTGGTCAAGATATCAGTCTATGGGCCTCGCTCCACTACACAACATTCTACATGTATTTGGACCGTTTCTGGACCCCATGCATTTCAAAAGTGCGACTCGTTTGAATGCATGCGGTCCTGAAAGCAACCAAATTCATGTACAGTGTAGTGTAGTGGAGCGAGGCCCCATGTCCCATAGAGTCCCTGCTGGGTTATCTGGCAATTGACAGATCGGGATCTCGACTCGTTCTTCTATCTTGGCAGGGACTCATGTAAGTTGGCTGGCCAAGCTGAGCTCCAGTATAGTTAACTTGTCGGTCCATCGATAGACCTATCAATCAACCAACCACTCATAGAGAACATCAATCAATCAATCAATCAATCAATCAAACCATAAAGGACGGGAACTCGACAATTGATCGTGAAGAGATCAGCCATCCTGCCAGAAAAGGATGAAGTGAAGTTGAGGCAAGCTAAGTAATCCAGCAGCAGCAGCATCGCCCTACGTATTTACGTACGAACAGTGCAGCCCGACAGAGAAACCCTCGATCCTGACGGTTTTCTTACTACCGCGGGGATAGAGGGTTTTTTTTTTTTGTTTTTTTTTTTTACAGGA